GAGCGGCAGACAGACGCGCGGCTTAATGTGCACATGTTCAACATGTCTGTGATGCCGCCATATTTATCTGGCTATCTGGTGAAGTAAATCTCGGATGCTGTAGGTAAGTTAACTCATTAACAGCCGGCAGCCATAATTGGGGCCGGTAATAAATTACCAGAGACCACAAGTAGACCAAAGAGTTACACCGACACACATTCAAGACTAGTGGCATTTGTCGGTGGCAGTAAAAGGCATGGCACTCTTACACAATCTTGAAGTGCCGGGTTCCAACTCTTGTATCCACCAGCTCTTTCTTTTCTTTGGAACTGTCAGTGTATCTTTGAATGTTGCTTGGAAATAACCTCTCCATTGTCATTTCACATCTACCATTTGACATTTATCGGTCTGTATGCTTATTGTCTGTGTCCTTCGCACGAGCGACCGGGAGAAAACAAATGCTATCAAAAACGGATGTACGCGCACAACTCAGGCCCTGGCACAAACCCTTGACATGGACGAACAACCAGGACTTTCCGCTGAAGCTTACAGGTGAGCGAAAAAGAAAGAGAAGTCCATAGTTCGCATGCACACAGTTAGCTTCTAAACAGCACTTCAATTCTCTGTTATTCTGTTTTTATATAGTGGCATATTTTATTTAGTCAGCATTTTTCCATTCTGCAAAACAATTTTTGACCCAGGCATTCTAACATCTACAAAGTATTAACTGCTACATGTTACGACTACTGAATAAAATCTTGAAATTTTTGTTTCTCTTTCTCAAATAACCTCTACCTTATAACCACTCGGATTTTCCTTGTAGAGCATCCTCCATTTACCAGCTTCCGACTCAACAACAATATTTCACCGCCACCGTAATTGTGGCTCTCACCGGGAAAGACAACCCACTCGCTCCATTTCACAAATTACCTCCCATTACTTTCACAGCTCCAAATAGAAATATATTGTTTTATTTCAGGCCAGAAATGGTTGCAAGAAAAATCATTGTACCAGCAACTATTATTTGAAATAGCGATGTAACAAAATTGGTCGAAGATAAACGGTGTGTTTTTGCCGACTATTTTTGGGACATGTTTAACAACTTAAATGTTTACCATAGCTGGGGGGTTGCTGTTTTAGAGATAGCATCTGTCATTGCATGCAGTTCAGCTGAAGAACAGGCGACAACGAAGTCTATGATAATCACCGAGTTGAAAGTATTGTGAAATAGTGAACAATGATTTCCGTTTTACTTGACACAAATCAGGAGTTATTTTTATTTCTACAGTGGTGGCTCAAAGTGTTCGCATTAGACTGCCCCCTTCCCTCCCCCCAAAGCCCGTTCAATTTCTAGAACTATCAAGAGCTGAAGACACGACGATTCCATTAAAAAGTGAACGATTGGACAGGCCAAGGTATTGTAGCACTGACGTGTGTCATTAACAACAAGCAGCAATGGAGGTTCTAGGTTATGAATTGATCTATGGTGGTGTCACGGTACTGTAGCACTGACACGTGTCATTGACAACAAGCAGCAATGGAGGTTCTAGGTTATGAATTGATCTATGGTGGTGTCACGGTACTGTAGCACTGACACGTGTCATTGACAACAAGCAGCAAGGGAGATTCTAGGTTATGAACTGATTTATGATGGTGCCACGGTATTGTAGCACTGACACGTGTCATTGACAACAAGCAGCAAGGGAGGTTCTAGGTTATGAACTGATGTATGATGGTGCCACGGTACTGTAGCACTGACACGTGTCATTGACAACAAGCAGCAACGGAGGATCTAGGCTATGAACTGATCTATGATGGTGTCGCGAGGTCCCATACATGGAGCTGAGAGATCAGAAATAATCAGCAAAAGAAATCATCATAAATTAGCTGATACGGTTGAGGAGGTAAATGCTCTAACAATGACCGTCGACGTTGAGAGAAGACACATAAACCCCCAGATATCGACAAATGGCTCGCAGCTCCCGTCCAAGTGTCCGACACAGAGAATTTAGCCCTAAAGTCAGGGTTCGAATCCATATATCGAGCCCACTAACACCTATGTTTACCGAAACCTGGCATGTGATTGGCAGGTGTCGCGCGCAGGTTACGTGCAGACTATTTTTAGATGTGGATGAATCGATGTGGGTGTATAGATGTCGATGTATGGATGTGGGTGTATAGATGTCGATGTATGGATGTGGGTGTTTAGATGTCGATGTATGGATGTGGGTTAATTAATGAATTCCTTAACCTAGGTCTTTTATCGTTTGCTGTGATGGCACTTCATTCAGAAGATAGGCTTGTATCTGGGCATCTGTCCGTCTCTTTATCTATCACTGAATTTGTCCACCCGTTCTGGTGTCCTTCCTTCTTTGTGCCTCAAGTCTGTCTGTGCTTGTATATGTCTGTCTATAAAGTCTCTGCATGAATGTACATATGACGGTCTGTCTATATTTTACTTTCTAGCTGTCTGTCTGACTGCCTGTCTGTTTTTCTTTCTGCCTGTATACATTATTGCTTA